CGCCTGGCTGGCCTGAGCGGCATCTCTCTGTGTGTGTGTGTGTGTTGCTGGATTGGGAACTCCCCCCCAGCAGCTGCCTTTGCCCTTCGTGCCCGCAGCATTCTCCCAGGGCTACCCGCTGAACGTGTCGGGGTCCTCGACGGAAGCCGCGCTCAGCATCCCCTACCCAGAGTCGGACTACTGGTTCCTGACCCTGCAGCTCCTCTGCCCGAAGGACGGCGGGTGAGTCAGATGTGCTGGATGGGGGGGGTGGGGGGAGAGGAGCCCCGAGGGCAGTGGGGCGTGGTCTTCTGTGGGGCATGCCATTCCCCTCGTGCCAGGCCTTCCCTCAGCACCCTCCTCCTGGATCTCTTCCTTTCCCTCGGCACCAGGGCGGTTGCTGGGGACCCCCGTCTCCCCTTCCCCCTCCCCTTCCCCGCCGATTGCCGGCAGACCTGCCTCGGAGGCCTCTCGCTGTAAACGTCCTCTCCTGTTCTCTCTCCGGCCGCAGGGAATGTGCCCCAGCCCTGGTGACGGTCACCGCCTTCCTCAGCCCTTGCTTTGAGGACTGCGGGGTGTACGGGCACTGCAGCTTCCTGAGACGCCACGGCTACGTCTACGCTGGGTGCAGCTGCAAGGCCGGTGAGGAGAGCCTCAAGGGGGGCCGCCGGGGGGGGGCCTGGCAGGACACCTGTGCCTTGCGCCGTCCTCTCCTCTCGTCCCTGCCGCTGCTTCCTCGGGAGCAGGGGGTGGGGGATTTATCTTGGCCTGCGCCGATACCTGCTGGACGGCCCCCTCTCCCGCTCAGGTTCTCACAGCCGACGCCGGCCAGGCACTCCACACCAGGCAGGCCAACTGGGCATGGCCGGGCAATACCTTCAGGAGGATGCGGCCCAGAGCTCTGGTGGTTTTCTTTGTAAGCACCCTGCCACGGTGCCTTTGTGTCTAGGCCCCCCCCCCCCCCCGGCGGCCAATCAATCAGGAATCAACCACAGGCTTTCAATGAAGTTTCAGTTTATTGTTCCAGTGTAGGCAAGTCGTCCACACACGCTCAGTGTCAGAACTCATTCAAAAAGCGGGAAAGGGTCAATTGTACCTGGTTCAAAGCGGGGTCTCCTGATGGCTCAAAGCCATTCAGGGAAGAAGCCTTTGCGCACGTTCCAAGGGAAAGCGGTGCAGCCGACACCAAGGTCAGACAGCGATAACAGGGACACTGAGAATCGAAACCAAACATACCAGCCCTGAAGGAAGTCACAAATCCGCCGCCTCCCCCTCCATAACTGACACCGAGAGGCCGAGCCGGGGCCCTTCAGCTACTCTTGACCCCCTTCTTGTGCAGCCCCCCCCCCCCGCCCCCAGGCACTGGCGTTCCTGCCTAGGTGGTTCCTGCTGGATGACTCACTCAAGGGGCCTTTCTTTCTGTCCCTCCCCCTTTCCCCCTGGCAGGCTGGAGCGGGTGGGGCTGCACAGACGGCTCGCAGGCCCAGTCCATTGGCACCCAGACGCTGGCCACCCTCCTGCTGACGCTCAGCAACCTGATGTTCCTGCCCGCCCTTGCCGTGGCCCTGTACGGCTACCACTTGGTCGAGGCCTCGGTGTATCTCTTCACCATGTTCTTCTCCACGGTACGTCCCGTCTCCCGGTCCGGCTGGCCGCCTGCCGTGTGGGTCTCCCCGAGGGAGGCAGGACCTGGGCCGGGCTGCAGGTGTGGTGCCAGGGGGTGCGGGCAGGCCGGCTTCCCGCCTCTGCGCCTGCACCTGCCTCCTCGTGTCTTGAGGACTGGGCTTCCCCCACCACCACCATTTTCAGCCACCGCACGGGGACTTGGCGGCCCTGGCGCGGCTGGCGGGGGAGCAGGCCTCTTCAGTCTGGTGCAGAGCAGAGCGGGGGCTCTTGCCCGTTGCCTGGATCTGGGCCCACGCCCTTCCCTGCCCCTGGACACCACCTCCCATCCCGTCCCCCGTCTGGCCAGAGGGAAGCCGCTGGGCTGTGCCGAGTTGAGTCCCCTGTAGGGAGGTCCTGGCAAGTTGCGCTCCGCTGGCTCCCTGGTGCCGACACCCTTCTCTCCCTTCCCCTCGGCCATAGTTCTACCACGCCTGCGACCAGCCCGGGGTGGCCGTGCTGTGCATCATGGACTACGACACGCTGCAGTTCTGCGACTTCCTGGGCTCCGTGGTCTCCATTTGGGTCACCATTCTGTGCATGGCCCAGCTGAAGAAAATGCTGAGATACGTACGTGGGAGGAAACGGCTCGTGGGCGGGGGTGTTTGCGGATAGCCTGTTTCAAGGCGGAACAGCGGAGTTCCCACCTGGAACCCGGCCAGCAGCTGGAGGCGCTGCATTCCTTGGGAGGGAGGGAGGGAGGGAGGGGGGGGGGCCCACTGGCTTCGACGGGTTCCAGAAGGGGCTGCCCAAACTCACTGGCAGTCTTGTGCTGCTTCCACGGCACCTTTCTGTTCAGACTGAGCTCTGCCTGTCGCTGCCCACCTGCCCTAGCTCCGGGCTTCCCCGATGCCTCTGGACCGTGGGCAAAGGGTCTCATCCTGTCCTTCTGTTGCCCACTGTAGGTCCTCGGGGTGCTGGGGACCCTCTTCATCGCCATGTCTCTGCAGCTGGACCGGAGAGGGGTTTGGAACATGATGGGGCCCTGCCTCTTTGCCTTCATCATCATGACCTCAGTCTGGGTAGGTGGCTGAGACCGGCACTCAGGTCTTCTTATTCACCCGGAGACTCTCTCCTCTCGGGGAAGGATACTGGCCTGGATCCGGTGGGGTGTGAGGGGAAATAAACAGCACAGTTCTGCCTACACAAGAAGAAGGAGGGTCGGTTTTTATACCTCACTCTTCTCTACCCTAAGGAGTCTCAAAAGCAGCCTACATTCGCCTTCCCTTCCTCTCCCCACAACAGGCACCTTGTGGGGTAGGTGGGGCTGAGAGAGTTCTGAGAGAATGGTGAGTGGCCCAAGGTCACCCAGCGGGCTTCACGGGAAGGAACCAAACCCGGCTCTCCAGATCAGAGTCCGCCACTCTTCACCACTGCACCACACTTTGCTCTCAGATCTTGCATGGTGCCTCGCTAGCATTTTCCTCCGTGCAGATATTTAAGTGCCTGGAAACTGGATGCCCCAGAGAAAATGGCGGGAAAAGACCGTGGTGGCTGGGAGGAAAGTGCTAGGTGTTGCACAAGATCACGCACAAGTGGAACGGCGCCATGCCTGCATTTCCACTTGCACCTTGCTGGATCCAAGCCGCTCTAAGCGGAACTGGAGCTTTTCCTAGATCAAGCTGCAGCTCGTAAGGAAGGCCCGTTTTGGGTCTTTGGCACATCCACAGTTAGACGGGTATTCTGCTTTAAATTGGCTTAGTTCTTAAAAAGTGCTACACATTTATTTAATTTATTCCGCGCCTGGACTTCCAGGTGGATTGCACCATGTTGGTCAAGGCAGTCGGCTGGACGAGATGAGAGACAGAGCTCCTCTCATCTCTGCTCTTGCTCCGGCCAGTGACCCTGACTTCCTTCCGCAGGCCTACCGTGGTGTGAAGCGCCGCCACTGTTACCCACCCTCCTGGAAGCGCTGGGCCTTCTTCCTCTTCCCTGGCATCAGCTTGGCCCTCATCGCCCTGGCAGTCTATGCATTCATGGAGACGAATGAGAATTACTATTACACCCACAGCCTGTGGCACGTCCTCATGGCCGGCAGCGTGGCCTTCCTCCTCCCCCCAGGAGACAGACCCAAGCGGCTGTGGGCGTGGTCGCGCAAGCTCCTCTGCGGCTACCAGATCTGCAAGAACGACCGGGAAGAGCTCTACGCGGTGACGTGACTGACGGTCCTCCCGCCGCAGCGCCTGCCGGGCTTCTCTGAGAGATTGGCGGATGCCTTTCCAAAGGCCACCGGACCGTGTGTGAGACGGGCTGCTGGCCGAGCCAACCGGGCAAAGAGCTTGGGGGCGAGGGAGCGGGCTCTGCCAGGCCTCACGAAAGGCTACCAGGGCTGTGTAGACTTTCTGTTCAGCGGAGGGTTTGTGAGCCTGGTCAGACTCTCCAGCTCGCAGCCGCCCCTGGCTCCAGCCACATGGCTGAGGCACAAGAACCACCCCGAGGAAACAAAGCTGCGAGGGGCAGTGGGGACCTGACAGATGGCGACACGGAGCTTCCTGCCGCTCACCCCACCGGAGAAGGAAAGGGTGGGGGTGGGGACTCACCCCCGATCCCTTTTTCTCTCTGTGTCGCCTCCCTGGAGACAGGAGATGCCGGCCGGGGCTGCTGCAGGAGCCTTTGCTTACGCAGCCCCTGGGGAGACGGGAGGGTCCTGGGGGGGGGGGGGGGATGTGATAAGCTTGGTGTGTGCACGTCAGACCAGACCAGCTCCCACTAAGTGGGCGTCCCTCAGGGAAGTGTTTCGGTTGTTCAGGATCACGGTGTCCTGAACAGCCCCGTCTGGTTGGCTGTGATGACCCAGTTCTGCTCACGAGCTCTCTCGGTCACTTTGTGTTTCCGTTCCGTTTTTTGCACAAGACTGTGCTTGGCAGCACTGAGGCCGATACGGTGGCTCCGTGCCTTTTGCAGCGATTGCTGTGGGGTGTGAATCCAGGCGGGACTGAGGTGGGACCTGCCCTGGATGAAACCGAGCCAGGCGGCTGCCGCCTCTCGGGAGGACCGGGATTCAGCATAAAAATCCCGAGCCACTGGGGAGCCACGTGGCTTCCCCTTTGGTGGCCTCCTCACCCCGCTGGGCTTGTTGCAGGTCGGTGGACTCCACGCACCCAGTTCCCGCCCCGTCCCTGCTTGAGGTGTCTCGAGGAGTTCAGGGCTGGCACTAGCGGAGCTGGAGTTGGCTGTCCTCCCCCTCCCCTCCCCTCCCCTCCCCCTTTCAAAGATGTCTTTTGCACAAACGAGGTGAAGAAGAAGTGGGTTAGGGTCTTTGTGGAGCAATAACAGTTGATGAAGTGGAAGGGCCTTCCCGGCCGTCCCCTTTGATTCTTGCCGCTGATTTCATTCTGTTTTGGTTTTTGGTCCCTACAGGAAATAAAGGGAATGTGACATGCGATGAGTTTCCGTGCCTGTGGTGTTCCTTGCCCTTCCCTGTAGGGGCTTTTTCCATCGCCGTGCGTGTCCTGTGCCCCCTCACAGCACGGGCAACCGAACAAAGAACCATGGGAGCCAAGCAGGGAAGGCTCTGCTGCTGCTGCTGCTGCTGCTTCTTTAGGGGGGCCTGACCCCCTTGGCTAGCGTCCCCCGAGGGAGCAGGCCACCACAGCCCCACCCTCCCCACCCTCCCCATCCCTGAACGGTCGGGTTAGAATGGATAAAAGGAAGTCCTTCTTCACCCAAAGAGCGATGAAGACGTGGAATTCACTGCCACAGGAAGTGGCGGCGGCTACAAGCATCGACGGCTTCAAGAGGGAACTGGATTAGCATATGGAGCAGAGGTCCATCAGTGGCTGTTAGCCACGAGGTATAGATAGGAACTCTTGGTCTGGGGCAAGGGATGCTCTGTCTTCTTGGTGCTTGGGGAAGGGGCAACAGTGGGAGGGGCTTCTAGTGTCCTGGCCCCACTACCTCCTGATGGCCCCACTACCTCCTGATGGCCCTCCTGATGGCCCCACAGACCTCCTGATGGCCCCTGGTATTTTTGGCCACTGTGTGACATAAGAGCGTTGGACTGGATGGGCTATTGGCCTGATCCGATGTTGGCTTACGTTCTTATGTCTGGGGCCAGTGATGCTCTGTATTTTTGGTGCCTGGGGGGGGGAACAGTGGGAGGGGGCTTCTAGTGTCCTGGCCCCACTGCTGGACCTCCTGGTGGCACCTGGTATTTCTGGCCACTGTGTGACCCAGAGTGCTGGACTGGATGGGCCATTGGCCTGATCCAATATTGGCTTCTCTTGTGTTCTTATGTCTGGGGCACAAGGTGTAGATAGGAACTCTCGGTCTGGGGCAAGGGATGCTCTGTATTCTTGGTCCTTGGGGGGGGCAACAGTGGGAGGGCTTCTAGTGTCCTGGCCCCACTGCTGGACCTCCTGATGGCCCCTGGTATTTTTGGCCACTGTGTGACACAGAGTGTTGGACTGGATGGGCCATTGGCCTGAACCAACACTGGCTTCTCTTATGTGCTTAATATGGAACAGAGGTCCTTCAGTGGCTGTTAGCCACAAGGTATATAGATAGAAACTCTCGGTCTGGGGCAAGGGATGCTCTGTATTCTTGGTGCTTGGGGGAGGGGGGCAACAGTGGGAGGGCTTCTAATGTCCCGGCCCCACTGCTGGACCTCCTGATGGCCCCTGATGGAGTGGGTGTAGTGGTTAAGTGCACGGACTCTCATCTGGGAGAACCGGGTTTGATTTCCCCACTCCTCCTCCACTCGCAGCTGCTGGATGACCTTGGGCAAGCCGTAGTTCTGACAAGAGCTGTCCTTGAGAAAGAGCAGTTTCTGCCAGAGCTCTCTCAGCCCCGCCTACCTCACAGGGTGTCTGTTGTGGGAAAGGAAGGGGAGGGAAAAGGAGTTTGTTGGCCGCTCTGAGACACCTTTGGGCAGTGAAGGGCCATGGGGTACAAATCCAATCTCTTCTCTTCTTCTTATGCTCTTATGTCCTCTCTCTCTCTCTGCCTGGCCAAGAGCTGGTTTCTCCGGGAAGGGGTGGGGGTGCTGTGTGGGCGCGTGTGCCATGAGCCCCCCAGGCTGCCTCCGTCCCTTCCTCTGGGCTTGGAAATGCCCGGAACTCTGGAGGGCGGAGGGGCTTCACTGGGGCCCGGGGCGACAGAGACCGCCCTCCAAAGGGGCCGCTTTCTCCAGGGCGGATTGAAAGGTCCGTTGGAAGGAGGGTTGCCAACTCCAGGTCCGGAAAATAACTGGAGTTTTGAGGGTGGAACCGGGGGGGGGGGGGGAGTGGGACCAGTGTGTGACAGTGTGGAGTGACAGTGTGGAGCCAGCTCACAGTTTCTTAGCCTCCGGCTCACACATTTCTATCTCAGCCCAGGAAGGACGTGGCGGCTCCAGAGCCAACTGATTTATGCAGTAGCCAAAGTGGCTCGCTCACAACTTTTATGCCAGTAGCAGCTCACAAAGCAGAATTTTCGCTCACAGGACTCCGCAGCTGAGAGGGAGCCTTGGTCCTGGCTCTGTGGTAGAGCCTCTGCTTGGTGTGCATCGGCAGGTTCAGCCCCCCCCCCCCCCCCCCCCCCCGCTGGCAGTGCTCCCTCCAAGCGGAGTCCGTGTGAGCCAGCTCACAGCTTTTTCAGCCTCGGGCTCACACATTTCTGTCTCAGCCCGGGGGGAAGGACGTGGCTCCAGAGCAGACGAATCGACGCAGGAGGAGCCCGATTCGCTCGCCCACCACAGCTTGGACGCCAAAGTGGAATTCCTGCTCGCGGGAGTCCGCCGCTTAGAGGGGCCCTGGTCGGCCCCCTTCCTTCCTTCCTCCCGCAAGCAGCAGCAGCAGCACCACTTCCCCCAGGAGGGTCCGTGCCCCGCGTGACCACCCCCCCACCCCACCCCACCCCCGTTGCCGAACGGGAAACGCGCC